CAGTAAACCACACATCTCATTTGGAACCAGAAGAACACCATCAGGCAGCAGTACAGAACAACAACAACAACAACAACAAAAAACCCCAAACCCCACAAGCACAGTACAGTATTGTGTTAAATGTAACAAAGGGAAAGTAGCATTTTTTCCTGCACAGTGAAGTTTCAAAGCTGCATTATGTCAATGTTTAGTTGTAAACTTCTCAAAGAATAACCAGAATGTTTTGTACACAATTACAAACATGTCATAGTTACGAACAACCTCCGTTTCCGAGATGTTTGTAACTCTGAGGTGGTACTGTAATTGATACTCAGTACTCTCACTTTTCTTGGTATCACTTAGCCAATCCTCAGGACCTTTGCACAAAAATATTTTCTTTCTATGCTACTAAAGGCAGCATTAGTTTACTTCTTTCTGGTTCTCTTCCTTCCCTTGCCCCCAGCTGCTACAAACAGTGTTAGTATTAGGGATGTTAAATATTGGTTAATTGAATAGTCAATTAATCTCATGAATTCTTTATCAGTTACTCAACTATTCTATAGTCCCAGAAGGGAGGGAGGGGGCTGGCAGCCAGTGCACTCTGGCCCCACTCCTGAGGAGCCCCCTACCACTCCACAGTGCTGCCTCTAAATTTCTATCCCTCATACTCCTGGAGCAAAGACAGAAAATATGACCCACATGCACCATGAAAGCTCAAATCTCACAATGCAAATAAAAGGCCTAGATCCACAATACCCTTAGAGATTGGGACCAAAGAAAACATGAATTCTTAATTAAAAAAAAAAAATCCCAACTTAAGAAAACAACAACAATCTTGCGCTTTTGGCAGGCCTAACTCCCAATTCTTCAATATCTGCGGTTGGCAAAACTCACTGCAGTTTTGTCTTTGACTTCCACAGCGCCGAGTGAAGCAACCTTAAGAGCTGTTTAAACGCGGATTTGCAATATTCTTGGAAAGCAGGTAAGTGTAATCCTTATTTTACTGACAAGAAAACTAAAGCAAAGGGGAACTGATTTGCCTAAGGCAAATGATTGGAAAAGCCAGGTTCAGAACTGAAGGCTCCCTACTTTTGTGCTTATTCTTCTATTTCATATTCCCTCAGAAGAACAGGACTGCTAGTACTTCTGAGTGGGTTATCAGTGAGATCAAACCAAAATGTATTCTAATGAAAAAAATTGCTCAAGTGTGTTTGGACCCAACATGGACAGAAATTAATATTATGAACTTTATTATTTATTTGATTCCAAAGAGAATGCTAATGATGAGGATTGCTAATGTGTCGGGACTCTGTCAGTGATATCTCTTGTATGTTCATGTTCCTATTAAGAATTCCTCAGTTGTGCAGAATCTAAATATACTTACAAGTCACTATTCCCCCTATACGCCTTCCCCACTGAGGCAAGGAAAATCATTAATTTTACAACCAGAGGTGTGGTTCAAAAGAGCTTCCTTAAAAGTTTAGGCTGATATTTTCAGTGCTCAATTGCCCTTACAATTAACGAGAATCAGCTTCCAAATGTTGTATGTAGCTTTGAAATTCTCAGCCATAATACAATACTTTCATTTTAAAAAAGAATCAGGATCTATATAAACTGACATGCATTCTTTAATATTACATGTAAATACAAGATTTACAGCAAAATTGTGCAAAACTAGCTATTTTATTTGGCTTGTCTCTCACACAGACAGTATGATATTCTGAATATTAAAAGTTTTTTCTAGCCACTGAGTTCATTTGAAACTGCATTTCTGGGCCCTGCACCCACAAATCCAATCTGATGTCATAGAATATTTATTCCTCCAGGACAGCACACTGGCCCCTAAGACATCATTAGCAATGCTGCTCACATGAGATCAATGCAAGAAGCAATACTGAAAGCAGCTAGTAGTAGGACATTTTCATTCATAATACTTCTAACATTAACAACTAGGACCTGACTTTTCTTACTAGTGATTTTGGGTTCCCAATTTCTGATTCCCTAAAGAAGCCTGATATGCAAAAAGCGGTCAGTACGTACCCTCCGAAAATGAGATTTCCCAAGTCAGACACTCAAAATAAGTTCAGGTTGAATCTCTAAAATCCGGGACTATGAACATTGCTGGACCAGAAAGTCCTGGCTGGCCAGGTTCTGAAGCACAGCCTGGCATGAGATGGCGGTGGGGAGCCCAGACCCAGCAGGGCCAGCGTGGTGGAGAGCAAGCCCTGGCCGGGGCTGGTGGCAAGGAGCTCAGCCCCAGCCAGGGCTGGAGGTAGCGGAGATGGGGTCCAGGAGTGTAGCCCCGGTTGGGGCTGGTGCAGTAGAAAGCACAGCCTCAGTTAGGGCTGGTGCAATTCAGGAACGCAGTCCCAGCTGGGGCTGGAGTCAGCTGGGCACACAGCCCAGGCCAGCACCATGGGGGTAGAGGAGCAGTCCCAAGCAGGGCTGGAGGCAGCGAGGCCGGCCCCTGTCCAGGGCTGGCACAGTGGGGGGGGGGGGGGGGGGGGGGTGGGAGAAGCAC